AGCAGCAGGAGCAGCAGGAGCAGCAGGAGGAGCAGCAGGAGAGGAGGAGAAGAAATGCACGGACCCTGAGGACCCCGCTTGTGCTGCAGGTGCAGCAGCAACCGGCGACAGCAGCAGCAGCAGCAGCGACAGCAGCAGCAGCAGCAGCAGCAAGAAGAGAAAGCGTGTGGTGCATGCGTTTAGGTACCCGCTAAACATAAGCACCGAGGAGACAGCCCCTATCCCTTTGTCTGCTGCAGAAAGGAGACAGTTGAGAGAGCTGCTGCTGCAGCAGGAGGAGAAAGACAGAGCAGCAGAACTGCTGCAGGAGACAACCAACGAGCTAGAAGCATATATATATAAAACAAGAGCAGCAATAAACAACAAGGAGTTAGATGCAGTGACAGAGGATACAATGCGCAGCAGTCTGCTGCAGCAGCTGCAGCAGGAAGAGGACTGGGTGTACACTGCAGCAGCAGCAGCAGGTCTTGCTGCAGTGCAGCAAAAGCTAGAAGCACTAAAGGAGACAGTTGNTACACTGCAGCAGCAGCAGCAGGTCTTGCTGCAGTGCAGCAAAAGCTAGAAGCACTAAAGGAGACAGTTGAACCCGCATACACCCGAGCTAGAGAGACAGCAGCAAGAGAAAAATTAATAGATAAAACAGACAAAGTACTGATAGATGCAGCACAAAGGATAGAGCAGCTTGCTGCTGCTAGGCCCTGGATAGCAGCAGCAAAAGTAGCAGCAGCACGAACACACAGAGAGCAGCTGCTGCAGTGGTGGGAAGATATAAAACAGCAGCAGCAGCAGCGATCGTTGCTGCTGCAGCCGCTTTATACAGAAGCAGAGGTACTATCAAAAATAAAAGACATGCACAAAAAAATTAAAAACCTAGAAGCAATACCCAAGCCACCACCAACCACAACCACAACAACTGCTGCTGCTGCTGCTGCTGCTGCTGCAGCAGAAAAGAAAGAAGAAGACAGTAAGGATGAACAGCAGCAGCAGCAGCAGGAGGAGGAACAGCAGCAGCAGCAGCAGCAGCAGCAGCAGGAGAATGACGAACAGACGAAGAGTGAAAATAATCAAGAAGAAGATGCTGCTGCTGCTGCAGCAGCAGCAGCAGCAGAAGAAGAAGCAGCAGCAGCAGCAGCAGCAGGGTCCAGTGAGAAAGATGAACTCTAAACATTAAGCAGCAAATAAAAAATAATATTTTACCTATTATAAAGGTAGCAGCAGATGCAACAGCAGCAGCAGCAATGGAAGTGGCAGCAGCTACGGCAAGAGCAACAGCAGCAGCAGCAGCAGCAGCAACAGCAGCAGCAGCTGCAGCAGCAACAGCAGCAGCAGCTGCAGCAGCAACAGCAGCAGCTGCAGCAGCAACAGCAGCAGCTGCAGCAGCAAGAGCAGCAGCTGCTGCAGCAACAGCAGCAGCAACAGTGCTGATTGATGGCTTGGGATGCGGAGGCGTCGGAGGGCCCGAGGCAGTTAGGGGTTTAGTTAGGGTTTAGGGTTTATGGTTTAGGGTTTAGGGTTTAGGGTTTAGGGTTAGAAAGGGGTGGTGGTGTTTTGTCTTTCGGTGTGTTTTCGTTGTAAGTGTCTTTGCTGTCTCTTCACTGCAGCAGCAGCAGCAGCAGCAGCAGCAGC